TTTTGAAACTTTCTTTTCTTTGAGTGTTTTTCGTCCGTTTTTGTTGTTTTTCGTATTCTTTTCTTTGCATTGGATGATATCCACTACTGGGAGATGCGATAAAGCGATTTGTGAGCCAGGGGTTGCACAGAGACCGCAGGGCGGTGTGACTGTCAGGGAGCGATTTTGTTTATGGTGTTCTTGAGGGCTCTTGTTTCTTTTTTCCTTCATTGAGGAATTACTTATCAGCTACTGTTTCATAATTGATCAGCAATTATCCTTGACACTTTTATCGCGAGAGCTGTCTTTAAGAACAGCCGAGTCGCGACATTACGCGCGAACTTGCCAGTGCTCTTAGCTTTTTGGGGTTGCTTTACTATGACAACAACTGTTGAATGCTGTTCGCGCTTTGGAAATCAAAGGGTGATGAGTTATGGGTAAAAGCCTTGACCCCAGACAGGACGATTCCCGTTCCACGGTAGAATTCTGAAAAATTTGGACCACCACTTGGCCCATTTCGATGCTGTACCCTGTACCGGTGCCAATAGGCGGGGCACGACTGGTTAGTGTGGAAGTTGATGAGCTGAATTTGAATAGGTTGAGTACAACAATCCATCGGAAGTCGCAATAAGATGACAGGAACAATGAACTGCACTCCTCGGGACGATTTTGTCCCCGAATATTGCCTACCTTATATCCCGCAAGTGCTGCGGTCTCGTAGTCCTGATTTAATGGCTGACACTTTTGTGGCGCTGCGGTGCTATTCAGAATAGATACGTCTCTTGTAGGATGACTAGCAAAAGCTGTAGAGTTAACCATACACACGATAGCCATACTCAAATCTAACCGCATTGATACAGTTACGAAAAGACCTGAAAACAGAATTTTGGACTTTTAACATATCACTCGTTGTCAAGAAGATGAAGAAAAATAATCACCGTCAACGAACCCGTAGTTAGCATCATGCAAACCCGCAGTCGAGTCGATTTCAGTGAGAAAAGCGGATAATGTGAAGGCTGAGCTGTTCTAACTTCGCCCTTCTTCTCCATGGTGTTCGTTTCGTCCTTCTTCTCCATACTGCTCGTTTCTGCAAGAAAAAATCGTTCCCTCTACAAAAAATCTTTTCGGTTTGCAAACAAGAAGTTTTTCTATCTATCAAACGATTTCAAGGTATCGGCACGATAATTTGGCTCTGTTTGAAAGGGTACCGGGAGTGATATACTGTGAGGAAATGAAGTAAAGCGAAGTTTGGTGACCAAAAGCCTGAAAAACCTCCTTTCTGCCAAGGCATTGAACGATTTTCGGACGAGGTTCCTGTTGGCATCTTGCCAGCAACCATTTCGGTAAGTACGGCTGCACGCATGTGTTCATATATCCATGTAGCAACGCTTCATATAAATTGTACTTCATTAATGATGTGTTAAGAGTACGGCAGCATTCAGATTCCGCGATGACGCGCGTCGACGCGCTGTATGCGCTACAATTGCTCTAAAGCAACGCTCTAAAGTTGTAGACGCCACAGATGGCCAGTGCCGATCGTAAAAGTCTGGCCGTTTGTGGGCGGGCAGTTGCGGTAAGCGTGTGGGTTGGCACGTTGCTCGTGCGCTATAACAGTGCCTTTGGTTGGGAAGGCGCACGGCAAGCGCCCTGTCTGTTGGGTCATAATACTTTTTTCGTGCTAGACGTATCGCCTGTGCTCTCCCTGTCGATTTATGGTGTTATTGCCTTGGAAGACAAAACTCGCGTCCTAAAAAAAAGAACAAAGAGGCGAACAATCAATGAAGACCCGAAAGTGTAGCACAACAGTCATGCGAGGAGTGATGGTGCCTCGGGTCAATGAAGAGTTCTTTTAGTGATGTACGACAGGGGTACATTAGAACAATGGTGGAAAGGGGGGGGGGGATGAAATGCCATTTTTCACTTTTTCTAAAGGCTTCAATCCGGAACTCCTTCCGGTTGGTTTTTGATGTACGAAATGCTGAGCCACTAAGAAGTTCGATTCCTTCCTGCTATTATGATAAAATCCATCTGCCAACCTTGGCGTGGCTCCAATGCGCACCTCCTCGTTGAATTGAATAAGCGAACACAGTCCTGTTCGCTGCAGATGGCGGGGCGTGTCAGAGGGGTAGGGCTTGCCGCGGCGCCAACCAGCCCCGCCCCACAATTCACAGATAACGGGACTACTTATCATCGATTGATCGCCCCTGCGTGGGCGCCATGCATTCGACTCCAACGCAGTGGTGATTGAATGGTGTAACTAATTTTCACCAACGCTTGCACTTGCGAGCCGCTATGATTCAAGATTCCGGAGAGGTCTACAACAATACTATCCTTAGCTTGCTTGTTTTTCTGTAGTGACTGACCCCAGTCTTAACGAACCACCCCCTTGCCACAGATAACGGCTCCTATGGAATTTTGCTCAAAGAAGATGTACCCTGACTGTGGGCCTCTGCTGCAACATACGGATGACCTTTTGGGCAACCGTGGAATGTGTTTTCAACCTCTGCACCAGTCACACCTCCAAAGCGTCAACGCGATCTGTGTTTTGAAGAAAAAAGGCGCTCGTAAAAATTCACACGAGAGAAGTCACGTCGAGTTGAATGGCTGAACTCTCGAAACAACTAAAGGTAGTACTGGCTTTTACATCAGTACTATCTCCCATTCCACAGCAGATTTTTAACTGCCTCTGTTCTCCTGTTAGACACCTTTTCATCAGAGCAAGGTTTTTCACAAATCACTGTACTATGGACCAACGAAACCAAGGCTCACCCGAAGTCAGAGAAGACCTGAATAGCCTAGCTTCTTAGAACCTATGATTAATGATCTGTGGATTCTTATGCATAAAACTGCAGAATTTGAAATGAAACATTATAAAGCTTGTTTTGCGATGGTCCGACAGCCATGTAGGACACGTTAGTCATTAAAAACCGTAAAAAGTAAAGGTAGAGGGTCTTTTGGAGAGACAACGGTAAAAAAAATTCGAATCCGGAAGGAAAAGCATAAGAGGGCTTGACGAAGAGTTACTGTTCAACAATGAAAAACATTCTTATCAGATTCGTTTCATCGATTCCAGATGGACTACATATTGTTCGCGAAAACTCAGTCGTAGTACTGCTGAGAAGTCCACCAGAGTTGTGTTTGGTCGCTAAGGAGGGAGGGTCGTATCAGGTCGATGGGATTTGTATCTGCCCTCGATGGAAAGTTTTTTGCGATAGTTTTTTTTCTGATTGTAGACTTTTCCCGCTTTTTATCGCTTCATGTGCGTTGTATACACCTCCTCCCCATCCCTCTGACAAGGGAAGGATACCAACTCGTCCTGGCCATTCAGAATGAGATGTATACTCCTAGAAGCGTCTTCGGACGCTGATATCAAATCTGGCTTCCAAATCTGCTAAACGATTCTGGGTGAGGAGTTACGGACCTTTTTTGCTACTGTGCTTAACCATTGCGGTGCGCCCCCCTGCTTATGCTTCGCGCTTGTAAACCCTTCGTGACCCAACCGCCATCGTGGCTCGGTGGCGCAGTAGGTAAGTGGATGGACTCATAGTCGTGCGATGGAGGTTCGAGTCCTTGATGCATTTCGTAGTTTTGCTTTTTCTTGAAACGTGCGCTCAACACTTGGGAAGTAGTTTTGCATACCTGTCCGACCACCAAGACAACTCCCTGCTCTTTATTGAGCCCCGCGAACGATTTTCGTGAAAAATTACACTTCTACCTAACTCGTTCATGCAAGGGACCAAATACACATGCATATCTGCCTGAAGTACGTGATCTGCGAAATTTCACCATCCTATAAAATGACGTGTGTGGGCAACGAAAGTTTCAACATGTTCGGTAGCTCTAATCACCCACGCACACAATATCAGCCAACACCTCTGCGACCGTGCCTACCATAACTAAAGTAATATTAGGCACTGTTGAACTACTCCTACCCCAGAAAGCTCAAAAAATTTTTCTCGCTGAAACGTTGTCTACAGA